CCCTTCCCCTCCCCCCAGACGGGCAGCTACTTACAGAGCTTCAGGGCCGGGCCTCACACCTGAGCCGGACCACAGAGGGGCTGCACCTGGCCTTATGGGTAGGTTCCTGGACGGAGCCCTGGGGAGGCTGGGGGCGGGGAGGCGGCAGTGCCGGTGGGAGGATCTCTGGGCCGCTGCAGCCCTCTGGGTTTGAGAAGAGTCAAGTAAGCCTCCCTGGCCCGCACGAGCTGGCTCCCCTGCCTGGCTTGAGTTCTGGAGATGCTGAGTTACTGCTGTCCCACCCACTCCCTCCTCAGGAGCCCCAAGCCCCACTCCTCCCTGCGCTCAGGTGGGACCTGGTTGTTCAGGGACCAGGAAGAGCAGCCTTGCTGTGAGCCCTTGGCAGTGGTCAATGGGCTGGGGAACAGGCCCCAGCCACAGGGTGCTGGGAGCCCAGGAGTTGGGCCGAAAGCAGCTTTTTTGCTGAGCTGGCTGGCAGTTGGGTGGTTGGCATTCCCTTCTGACCTGTGTTCCTTCCTGGTGGACCACGCTGTCCTCAGGCTGTGCCAACCTTTCGGCCTCTTCGTGTGCCATGGGGCAGGCGGCCAGGAAGAAGTGGTGCTGGGGATGGAGGGAGCAGTGCGACTGACAGGGGGCTGTGGCACATCCGTGGGTGCCGTGGGAGGCAGCCTGACACTGCGCTGTGGCCTGCGACAGGAGAGGTGCCTGCGACAGCCCTGGATCACTGCACCAGCGGGGAGTCAGCATGGGTTCCCAGACCTCTGACCTTTGGAACAGGAAGCAGCCTGAGTGCAGAGGGGAGTGGAGGTGGGACAGCTGCCCGAGGAGATGGGACTGGACGGGGAGGCTTTGCCTCCACTAGAGTGGAGTTGCCAGTGGCTTTCCAGGCTGGACAAACTCCAGGCAAAGTGGCTTCACTGAGGCGCAGTGGTTGGAGGGTAATATAGGGTCTTCCTGATCCTGCCCAATCTCTCTGGCCACCCTGGGATGGGGTCTTCTGAATTAGGGGTAGGAGCCTTTAGCCCCAAAGCCAAAGCCCTTCTTTCTCCTATTGTTTGCTTAGGGAGATGGGTTGGAGTGAAGGTGGGAAAAAAAACGCATTCCCGCACTGCCCTGGGCAGACTCCTCTAATGTGGCCCCTCCCCCACCCAACCACCGTCTCTGCCCCTTCTTCCCCTTTTCACTTGCCTCCTGCTGCTAACCCACCCCCTCTTCCTTCCCCCATCCCTGCTGGCCTTGTCACGAAGGAGGCCCTCTTCCTCCTCCGTCTGCCAGAAATTGTGCTGGGTGCATGTTCTCCTGCACCTAGTGGGTTGGGGGCGCTTAACAGCCATCAGCAGCAGCATCTGACAAGCTGGGGGAAGTTGTGGGGGAAGAATAATGTTCAGGAACTGGCTGTGGAGGGGTGGAGAAGAGAGACAAAGGGGCTGTGGGGGAGTGTGGAGGGTGGTGTCAGGCACGACTCACTCCTAGACCTGGGGAGCCCGGCGCCCACCCGCTGCTGCTTGCTGTGGAAGTGACTTCTGGCTCCTTTCATCAGAAGGCCCCTCTCCTGCCCTCTGTACAACTTGTTCTGGCTGAGGGGCCTTGTCCTGGAAGCAGGGTCATTGGGTCATCCAGAGCAGCACCCTGGTCTAGATCAGTCATGTTTGGACTTCGAGGAGGCAGGGTGAAGGGAAGGGAGCAGAGACAGCTAGGCATGGTGCTTATGTGAGTGGAGCTGGTAGGGTTAGGGCTGCAGCAGCTGATGATTCTAGAAGAGAATCCCCTCCCCCTCTGGTTGAGTGCATACCTAGGCCCACCTTCTTGTGGGGGAGGAGGCGGTAGATAATTGATAGGAGGAAGGGGAGGACAAAGTTCCACCAGGTGAGGGGCTAGGGAGGGATGAGCAATTGCTCTGTATCCTGCCACCTCATTCCCTCAGCTGTTTGTGGGTGGGGGGCAAAGGATGCATCATCCCATTTTAGAATTTGTTGAGTCAGAGAAAGAACAAGATTTGGACTTCCATCCTCAGTGTTTTATTAGGAATCGCCACCAGAAGCCAATTGGCTGGGAGCAAAGACTTGAAAATCGAATGAAATGAAATGAATCTCTAAGACAGTAGGCCATTGAGCTTAAAAACCAAAATTCTTAACCTAGAACCCTGGGATGGGGGGCAGGGGCATGAGCCATTTGACAGGCTTTGGAGAGTCTTGGACTACTCGATACCACTCAGAAAAGGTTAAGAGAAATCTGTTCAAATGCCTTCGTAGATTGGAACAACTAGGGGAGAGAAGGGTCCGTTCCCAAGTCAGCTGTTAATGAGTTGCAAGGCTAAGATAGGGATGTAGATGCTCGACTTCCAACTTAGGACTCATACTCCAGGTTGCTTTCTGATGTCTTTTCTCATCTTGATGGGTTTACATTAACAGCTGCAACCTCTCAGGGAAATCTTCGTGTTGAAAGATACATCGAAGATGGGATTTTGTCTCTCTGCATGAGCTGTGGTGGACGGGCTGGAGAGCCTTGAAGTGTCAGGGCCACGTGTTCTAGATTCAGTAGCCCAGAACCTGGGGCAGGATGAGGTTTGAACAGCCCTCAGCCCTCGGAACTGAGGGAATCGAGGGTTTCATGGCCCTTTGCAGGGAAATGGGAAGCCCGGAATAGTTTGGGAGAAGAAATGCGCCTGCGGGGCAGAGCCTGAAAGATGAAGTTCGAGACGGTGAAAGGGCGGAGGCTGTCCAGAGAGGACGCCTGGCCTGTAGTGTGTGCTCGGTGAATAATTGTCGAAAGAATAAATGTGTTTATGTGTGGACCTGAAAGCTGCACATAGAAGGAAAGGGTGAATCTGGGAAGAGGACGTGCATTGGATGTGATCGTGAGAACTCCAGCATGGCATGTGAGCGGGCAAGCTCTTCCGGGGCTTTCTGTGGTGTTTGAGCAGATGGGGAAGGAGACGTGCTCTTTAAACATAGTGATTTCATCATTAGTAGACATCACGACAAAACTAGAATTGTGGTCTGGACGCCACATGGTTGCCCAGGAAAATTGTGGAGGAAAGGCCAAGAGGATAGGTTCTTGATTGGGAAATACATCAGGAGAGGATGGAGCCAAAGTCTGTGCTTAGGCAAAGGTGCACAATTCCTATCTGAACAGAATTAACTTTTTCAAGTCAGAGGATGGCCAACTAATAACAGTGACAAATCGGGAAAGATTCGACCTGGGAGGAAGCTTTCCTAAGAGGCAGGAGAGAAGGCTGGAATTGAGCCCAGTGATTGGAATTTACCTCTCAACTTCAAATCTTTCTGTTTTCGGTGGCAGGCCAGTTGAGTTGATGAGGGAAGAATCTCTCCAACCCTTTACTTCCCATCACTGTCTCCAGACCACGGAGATTGAGAGGAGTGCCCTAAGTATATCAGGTGGCCTTGCTAATACCTGGAAAGGTCAAGGTAACTCCTGTTTCTTATTTCCCCAGGCTGAGAAGAAAGCTAAGGTGATTGCAGTAATGAATGCTGTGGAAGAAAACCAGGGGTCTGGCGAGTCTCAGAAAGTGGAGGAGGCCAGCCCTCCTGCAGTGCAGCAGCCCACCGACCCTGCATCCCCCACTGTGGCCACCACTCCTGAGCCCGTGGGGGCCGATGCTGGGGACAAGAACGCCACCAAAGCAGCCGATGACGAACCGGAGTACGAGGTGAGCGGCTTGCTTCTTCATCTGCCTCGTCCAGCTCTGTCCTGGGTCCTTCCACTGCCAGCTCCTCCCGTCCTGCTCTCCTCTCTCCATCTGGTCCCAGGCCTCTTCGTCTCCCCAGTTTTGGTTCATTCAGATGGAGCTCCCTCCTGGCTGTCCTGACTCTCAGATGCCCAGGGTTGGGTTGCCGTGGGGGGGTGTCAGGGTGGCAGGGCCTCGTGACCACTGTGTAATGACTTCTGCTCCTTGGGGCTCCAGGACGGCCGGGGCTTTGGCATTGGGGAGCTGGTGTGGGGGAAACTGCGGGGCTTCTCCTGGTGGCCAGGCCGCATTGTGTCTTGGTGGATGACCGGCCGGAGTCGAGCAGCTGAAGGCACCCGCTGGGTCATGTGGTTCGGAGACGGCAAGTTCTCAGTGGTGAGTTGTGGGGTTCGGCGGTGGCCTTGGGGAGGAAGGAGTATTAGTCTCAGGGCCTTTGGTTTTGGCTGGGGGCACGGCATGGAACTGGGGTGATAGAAGTGGGCTCTGCTTTCTCTCACTCTGTGTGAATGGATGAAGCCTGCGAGATAATTAGGTTGCTCTGGTGGCTCAGTGAGCTAGGATACTTGCCAAGGGTTTGCCTTTCAGGAACCTTTTCCCCAGAATTCCCTGCCTGCTTGCATTCAGGTCCTTTGCATCATGTAATCGTACATGTATCCGGTCCTCTCAAGGGCAGAGGCCAAGTCTTTCTTGCCAGTTGCCAGGCACGTGGTGGGTGCTTGATGAGTGTGGAAGAAGGAAAAACAAGGGTGGTGGTTGTCCCTCCAGGTGTGTGTTGAGAAGCTGATGCCGCTGAGCTCCTTTTGCAGTGCTTTCCACCAGGCCACCTACAATAAGCAGCCCATGTACCGCAAAGCCATCTACGAAGTCCTGCAGGTGAGCGCCCTCAGAGAGATTCAGAGAGGGAGCTTAAACAGCAGGGACTGCAAGTTGATCTAGAAGCTGGAGCACGGAGGTTAGGCCCGGGCAGAGGGGCTGCCTGCCAGGCCCTGTAGAGACTCCTTTTGTGTCCACCTCACTCACCCCTTTTCTGCACTCTCTCTCCCCAGACATTCCCCTATAGTTCTCTCCTCCCCTGCACCTTTTCCTACCTTCAGTACTCACATCTGTCCTCCAGCCCGTCCTGATGCCCTCCCCCACTCATGTTGCCCGGCAGGTGGCCAGCAGCCGAGCGGGGAAGCTGTTCCCAGCGTGCCATGACAGCGACGAGAGCGACACTGCCAAGGCCGTGGAGGTGCAGAACAAACAGATGATCGAGTGGGCCCTCGGGGGCTTCCAGCCCTCTGGCCCCAAGGGCCTGGAGCCACCAGAAGGTAAATGCAGGGGCCCAGCCCAGCCTTCTGGGACCCCTGCCAGCAAGAGGGGCGAAAGTCATGCTTAGGGGGAGCCCCCAAGGCCTCCGTTGAGGGGCCTGGTGGGAATGGCCACAGTCTCCCTCTCCGGGGGTCTGGGTAGGGGCAGTACTGCTCTGGAGCTTAGAATAACCTGCACCCCATCGTAGGTAGAATGGAGGAAGGGAGGGACCTGGGATTCCTTGTCAGCTGGTAACCTAGATCTTACCACCTCCTTTCCCCGCCCAGAGGAGAAGAATCCCTACAAAGAAGTTTACACAGACATGTGGGTTGAACCTGAGGCAGCTGCCTATGCACCCCCTCCACCAGCCAAAAAGCCCCGAAAGAGCACAACTGAGAAGCCCAAGGTCAAGGAGATTATTGATGAACGCACGAGAGGTAGTTGGCCTGGCTCTGGAGAGTGGCATGGCGAAGCCAGCGTTCAGAGGAGCAGGTGAGGCCCTCGCGGCCACCTCTGATGCTTGGCTTCCCTCCCCTCCACAGAGCGGCTGGTGTACGAGGTGCGGCAGAAGTGCCGGAACATCGAGGGTGAGTCACGGTGGGTCGGCTGGACAGTCCCTGAGAAGTCAATAGTCTTGGCCCCGGGACGGGCAGGCAGGCTGGCTCCTAGCGGGGTGCCTGGTGCTTGGGTACTTAGAAAGGTTTGGGTGACGTGGGACATCAGTACTCGGTAGCAGGGTCTGTCCTGCATGTTCCCACCACCTCCAAGCCTGCTTCATGCATACATCTGCCTTCCCAGCACCGTAATCTTACTGTCCTATCAGTGGTATGGGCTGGCTGTTAGGGGTTAGGAGCCCTCAGTGGGGTCAGAGAGGGTGGCCTCTCTTGGATTTGATTGAACTTGCCTGAATATGACCTTTTGACCTCTGCTTCTCCTCACCCTCTCTCATCCAGTGGTCATTAGCAACCCATGTGTATCTCCCTTGGCTTAGTGGTAGTGTGCCTAGCTTGGGGCCCTTGGCCTAGGAAGGATGGAGACAGGGGCTCAGGACTTACGGATTGTCCAAGGGCTATTTCCAGAGTAACGGGGGGCAGGACCCTGTTCTCATCATCAGATTCCTGTCCCTGTATGATGCCGCTCCTGGCTGGTGGCATTGCTGCTCTGAGAGATGAGAGGCCTTCTGAGATTGTCCCGTGGGGCGCCTCCCAGAATCCTTTCTGCCTTCCTTTCTGGCTGCTGCTCCAGCACGCCCCTGTTTTGTAGCTTCTCTGGAGTGGCTTTGGCTGGTGGTGGTGGTGGGGGGGGCGGTTTGCAGCCATGCTCACTCCACTTTCTCTGCTTTCCAGACATTTGCATCTCTTGTGGGAGCCTCAATGTCACCCTGGAACACCCTCTCTTCGTTGGAGGAATGTGCCAAAACTGCAAGGTGGGGGCACACCCAGCAGAGACGTGATAGAGGGCGCCCCTGGGCCCCTGGTTGAGCGCATCTCCTCACCTTCGGCCTCGTTGCGGGCGGGTTGGGGGCAGCTGGGAGGTTGGCTCCAAGGTTTGCCCTGGAAGCAGAGTCCTGATAAAACAGACCCCTGGGAGACCCCTGGGCTTCAAGCATTTGACGTGCCCTTATTTTTCCTCCTTTGAAAGGTTCTTTTTCCCTCTAAAGTCCATGCTAGTCCTGGATGTGGGCTCACAACGTCCATCACCAGTGCGAAGTCGGGGGAGGACAGGCTGACTGCTGGGGGGGTGGTTTCTGTGACCTCCGGACTCGGGAGGAAAACCCAGAGCCACAGCAAGGGACAAAGGGTGCAGCTACCTCCCTGGCCTTCTCTCAGGCCTCCTCAGTTCTGTCCACTGCCGTGGTAGAGAGACCTACTGGTGGCATTGATGTCCCCTTTCCTGGTCTGTGGTTTGGGCCAAGCCCGGCTGGATGGGTGGCAGGGTCACGTCTCTAGGGCTGAGCTGGGGTTCCAAAGTGAGAGCCCAGAGGCTGGGTTCAAAGTCTGCATTCACTCTGGCTGTCCGGGGTCCTATCGGTGGTCTGACCCTCCACCCTGCTTTCTAGAACTGCTTCCTGGAGTGTGCTTACCAGTACGATGACGACGGCTATCAGTCCTACTGCACCATCTGCTGTGGGGGCCGCGAGGTGCTCATGTGCGGGAACAACAACTGCTGCAGGTGAGAGTCCCCCCAGCCCGTAGCATCCCTCAGGTGAGAGTCCCCCCAGCCCGTAGCATCCCTCAGGTGAGCGTCCCCCCAGCCCATAGCATCCCTCAGGTGAGCGTCCCCGCAGCCCGTAGCATCCCTCAGGTGAGCGTCCCCCCAGCCCGTAGCATCGCTCAGGTGAGAGTCCCCCCAGCCCGTAGCATCCCGCAGGTGAGAGTCCCCCCAGCCCGTAGCATCCCGCAGGTGAGAGTCCCCCCAGCCCGTAGCATCCCGCAGGTGAGAGTCCCCCCAGCCCGTAGCATCCCGCAGGTGAGAGTCCCCCCAGCCCGTAGCAGCGCTCAGGTGAGAGTCCCCCCAGCCCGTAGCATCCCTGCCTCCTTGGCCCATACTGGGGCTTTAGCTTCCTGCCCAGCCCTGCCCAGCCAGGCTCTATCCAGGACTGGCCAGGAGCTGAGTCCCTCTGTTGCACTGGGCTTCCTTCCAGGTGCTTTTGCGTGGAGTGTGTAGATCTCTTGGTGGGGCCAGGGGCTGCCCAGGCAGCCATTAAGGAAGACCCCTGGAACTGCTACATGTGTGGGCACAAGGGCACCTATGGGCTGCTGCGGCGGCGGGACGACTGGCCCTCTCGGCTCCAGATGTTCTTCGCCAATAACCACGACCAGGAATTTGTGAGTGCTGGGCCTGGGGCGTGCTCCTGAGCTCTTTTCCACCCTTACCTGCCAGAGGGCAGATTGGGCTGAATTGAGAGTGCCTCGCTTGGTCCTGGGGCCTTGTGATGAGCGGAGGTGCCTGAGCCACGTGCCAGCTGTGCAGGTTTAGAAAGTTTAAAGTGCTTACAGTTGGCTGGGAGGGCGCCCTGCATGCAAAGCTGTAGGACACGCCTCGGCACTCACCTGGCCTGTTGTGTTCACTGCCTAGGACCCTCCAAAGGTTTACCCGCCTGTCCCAGCTGAGAAGAGGAAGCCCATCCGGGTGCTGTCTCTATTTGATGGGATTGCTACAGGTGAGCGTGGCATAGGTCCCGAGAGGTGCTGGCATCTTCGTCCTGGGACTTGGAGCTCTGCTTGTGGCTGTGTGTGTTTCTGGCGAAACAAAACATTTACTAGTGAACATTATAACTGTTAAAAAAAACATTACCCTGAAGTGGAAACTTTGTGTTCAATGAAAAGTTAAAAAAAAAAAAAAAAAGGTAAACCAGCATGTCTGGTGGATACTTTCCTTAATGGGGGAGGCTCCCCAGCAGAGGGCAGAGCAGTCATTAGAGATCATTGACAGTTTTCACAAAGTCTCTCTAAGGACAGATTTGGCAACCGAAACAAATTCATAGGCAATTCTGCTTTGCTTTGATTGTAAGTTGCCAACAAACTATAAATAAGAGAGTAAAGAACATTTAAATTGCCCACAATCCTATAATTAGTGTTTTGGTGTATGTCATTTTAGATTTTTTTGTGTGTGCATATATATGAGTGTTTATATAATTATACATAGATAGATGAAACAAAAGGATAGTAAAATGCATAGTGTTGTAACTTGCCTTTTCATTTGTGACATTATGACTACTTTTTTATGTCGACCAGTATAGAATTCCGTTCTTTATTTGTGAATGCTTCATAGGAATCCATTGAATCAGGTGCCATAATCTATTTAACACTCTATTGGGTTGTTTACTATTTTGTTGTGAGCAGTGCTGTGACAAGCATCTTTATGCATACATCTTTATATACTTAAACCATTATCTCTTAGGAAATAAATACTGGGTCACCCGCATAGGGGTTTTTTTTTTTTTTTAATATGGTTTTCCTTGACCTTGCCAGAAAGCCCTCATGGAAGGTGGTATTGACAGCATCCACTCCCACCCTGCCCTCAGGTGAAGGATTGTTAGTTCTTAAGAAAGGAGTAATTTTCCTAGAACTTGAACTTGCTTTCCTGTGGATGGGTAGTCTGAGCCCAGAGGGCTAGGGTGGGGGTGGCATCCTCGGCCAGGTGTTTTGTCTGTCTTTTGTTCACAATTTAGTGCTGATATTCTGTGAACCCAGAAAGGTTAACTTACGGCTTTGGTTTCCCAGGTGGAAATCTCCAGGCCTTAAAAACCATGTCACACCCCAGAGAGGCTGTAAAAGCTTCTTGCTGGAGAGTTCTGATGGGATCATTGGAAATGGTGCCATGATGGCCTGTTTTTCTGGAAGCTTTCAGGGTCTGTGCTAATTGTTTCTTTGCCTTTATTCAGCAAGTGTTTGTGTGGGAATCATGGTAAGGAAGTGGATGCAGTTAGCTCAGGAAGAAACACGTGAATGAGACCTACTCAGTCTTGAAGACCCTTTGCAGCTCAGGAGAAAGGCAGGAGAAAGGCTGAATAGGAATACACACTGGCTGCTCTGATGACGTAGAGAGACACTCTGGGGGCTTACAGAAGAGGGGACGTGCTTCCAGGGGGCTGTGGCGTTGGAGCAGGACATCGATGAAACACTTTTGGATTCATTTATGTCGAGTCTTGAAGAATGAGTAGAATTGCAGCAGGAGGTGATGTTTTGGGGGGCGGGGTGGTAAGGAAGGACCAGTGTGTGCAAGATGGAGAAACAGCAAAGAAAAGGCCACCCAAAAGTCAGCTGCTATCCTCCCTGGATTCTGA